GATTCTCAACAAGTAATCTGAAGGGATTTGGTGAATCATTTTGGCTGTAAATTTTTGTGAATAACTCATTGTTGATATTTAACATTAAATGAACTGGTGAATTACAATATTGAGGAATTAAATGGCTTAGATGCTTTGTTTTCATAAAAAGGGACTTGCAGAACACTGCTGTTCTTCAGAAGACAGAGGTCATAACCACTAGAGTAGATTTTGCGTACTACCAAGCAAGCAACAAAAACAGATTGATCTTTTGTTTGTAGAGTCTGCCTGCTGAATGTTTCTCTTCTGTATGTTTTCAAATCATTGGTGACATGTGGATGACCTGAACAATGATCCTTGATGACACAGTGAGTCCCAGTCCATGCTTTCTGCCCACTGAATGCGCTGGAAGATGTCTATGCTCATGAGGATGGTTGGCAACCAATAGCACCAGACTGCAGCAGGTAGAAGACCCCATCCCTTGACAAATGGTATTTGTTAAGGGGAGGCTTTGCCCACATCTTTGGAAGTGGAGAGATCAGCTGCTTAGAAATGTGGATTGAATCCCAGATCTGCTTTTGTACGTTACTTGAAGTTTAGTAATTGATTTTTTTTTTTTTCAATAGTCTAGAGTTTTGCTGTGCAGATTTTCTACATTCTATTTTCTACTACTATGGAAATGTTTTTATTTGCAAGGGTATTTCTACTGGGAGATGCTTCGTCTCCAGGGTAACTTCTCTGAGAGTGGTTTTAAAGTTGGTTTATGGAGAGTACTGCATCATGTTTTGCAGTTTTTGCAGTTTTCAAATGCTGCTTTAGACAGTAATAAAAAGATGTTATTCTTCTGATGCTATTTTTGCCCTGACTTGGCAGCCTCTCATTGTCTGAAAATTGGGCAGTCATACAGGTGTACCCAAGAATTTGAGAATTTAATGTAGTGATCAAATGAGAAAACACAAGGTGGGACACCATGTGGCCATACAAGGTGCTCAGTGGCAGGATGCAGAATGGCTACTGGTGAAGAAACAAGGAAAAGGGTTGTTAGGAGGGTGACACAGGAATAAGGTGGCTTGAACAGCCGGGATTGTTGTGCATGAAGGTGACGGAGGGATGTTCTGGAGGCAGAAGCAGGAAGAGGAGAACCAGACTCGTATCCTCTGCTAACATCTCTGGGTATTTTTAGGAGCGCTTCCTGAAAGTGCTCATGGTGTATAAACAGATGAGATTCCAGGAGGCAGCAGCGAGGGGAGCGGTATAACTCAGTGATGCTTGTACCGCAAATAGTACATTGCAAAGAGCAAATTGTTTGACTTTATTAGAACTGCAGCGTCCTGCAACAGATCAAGGGTCTAGTTTCTAAGCAAAATAATTGTAGCCTCAAGAAAGCTTAACTGTTGAAAGCCTTGCAGGACATAGATTACTGTTTGATTTGGCTTCAGGAGTTGCATATACTCCTTGGATGTCAGACAATGAAGTAAATTTGCTAAGCACGAGCTATTTTGAAGCCCCTCTCTACAGCATGATGTAGCTCAATCTTGTGATCAGGAAACATGAAATGGAAAATAGGAGGAAGATAGCATCTGGCAAGTGGGCTTGACGATGCTTTGCAGCTCTGGAGGAGCAGTTAGGAGCCAGGCAGATCTCATCCCAGCAGCAGGGACAGGCAGCAGAAAGTCTCCTTGTCTAGGTGTGCAGTGCCAGAGTTAAAGCAGAAATGGTAGCCACTGATTCACGCGGAACAAGTGTCATTCGTAATTTCCTTGCACCTGCAAGGAAAAGGCTGACACTCTGAGCTGTCACCACTGACCGTACCTGGACAATATCCTACCTGGCACTTCTTTCCATGAGAAACCTGTCCTTGGCAGCATCTCCTTCCTTGCAACTTGTTGAAAATTTCTATCCTCTCTTCTTCTGGCTCTTTGCAGAGCAGATTTATGGTCCCACTTTCCTTTTACAAATAAAACCCTAAGTGCAAATCCGAAGGATAAATAATGCAGTGCAGACATGCCCGCAGCAATACTCTCTGTATTTATCATTGCTGAAAGTCTGGGAGGAAAAGCTGCAGAAGGCAAGATATCTTAACTGAGAAAACTGTTCTCATGCTTTTGTGCCAATTCTGGAGGCTGGAAAGCAATCCTGCTGTGCTTTTTCCCAAACAACCTGCTGGAGCTCAGGCAAACTCCAGGTACCTTATCTATGACAGGGGGCTAGGACCACCATTGCTCTTCATGGGCTGCCTGGTGGGCAGGCACCAGCCCCACTGCAGAGCTGGGGACTGCTCATTGACACATGGAGTAGTGGGGTTTGTAAATAGCCCTCAGCACTTGCTCTGCACTGGCTGAGGAGTAGGCATGGAAGAAATGATGGCACAAATATCACTCTGCCCATTGATATGTCCAGTCTGCTGATCTGATCACTTCTTCCACCTGCAGTATCTAGTGATGTAGTTTGGGACAGGGGATATTGAGGTTGTGCTCTGGATAAGCGTGGACAAGTGTTCTAGCTGGCATTGAGGAGGACATACACCTGCAGAGTGGAAGTGGGATTTCTCTCTGCTGGCTCCTTGGCAGTAAACCTGGCAGTTGCCCTCCAGGCTCCTGGCTGCTAGCTAGGACTAGATGCTTGCAATGAATCAGCAACTCTGGAATTGGAAGTTGCAGCACATGGTATATGTATAACCACACCCAGTATTGTTTGTGTTTTCTTTGTCTTGGTTCCAGCTATAAATTTAAGAGACTTCTGCTTAACTAGTGCACAGGGGCAATAATGTACTTCAGTGTGCAGCTGATGATGGTTGTTGAGCTGCTAAGCCTGGCACCTTGGTGCTGCTGCAGCCCTTGGTGGAGCTGTGTGTGTGAGGGGAGGTGATGGGGTGCTCAGATGCTCTCATCTGCTCCAGAACAGAGAAACCCCTAGAAGATGGGGACATGCTTACCACTGGCTCTTGCAGAAGGGGAAAACTTTGCCCTGGGGCTGGAAGCCTGTTATTGTCTTTGGTTCAGTGTTTTAACCTCTTGCCTCCTGTTCTTTTTTTTTCTTTCCCTTCCCAGAGGAGCAGGCTTTCTCTGCACACCTGTGACAGTGATGCTCGCTTGGTTCTCCTGCCTTGCCAGTGCCCTGCCTCCAGCTGCATGCCGTGCGTGGCAGGGCATCTGAGGCACTCTTCAGCCAGCTGAAGCAGTCCCATTAATGGCTACCAGGCCTCAGCTGAGGTAAATTTAGGTTCAGTCTCTCTGAGGAGCTGTTCATTTTAAATTCCACACTGCAACCACAGATGTTTCCAGACATGCAGCTCACTGGGAATTATGACCTGTCCTGATGGGCTCAGTGCACAGATTTGGGACTGCTGTGTTTCACACACCCCTTGTACTTTCATGTTGTGCCATTTGGCTCAGCATTGCCAGTGTTACAGAGAGCTGAAGGCAGTGGTTAGCAAGGCAACTAAAAGACAGCTCACAAAACAGCTTCAGCATGGGCTGTGGTAACCAAGGGTCCCCTGGCAGAGCTTGGTGGAGCAGACCCAGGTGCCAGGAGCAGCCAGTCACCAGGCGCACTGAAACCCAACCTCTGTCTGCAGCAGCCAGTGGGAGGCCTGTGAAAGCCATAACTTCACTGATTTTTCCATCATTAGCTGTGACCTCCCTTCTGGCCACTTACTCCAGTCTCAAAGGATGGGACCCATTCTGAGGGACTAGCCATCTCTGCTCCCTGGGAGGAAATTAGCCTCTAGCATCGCTTGCTTTTTACTTACTGTGTTTATGGAAGCGGAAACACCACCTGAATTTCTCTGTAGACTCTGCAGGGAAATCATGTTTCCATATTGCATTATGAGAGAAATGCATTTGAAGTGTGCTGTGCTCAGTTCATTTTTTTTATGTATGGAGGCAAAAGAAACTTCAGTTCAGAATGAGTATATGCGTCTCTCTCCATTCACCATCCCTAGTGCTATAAATATGAACTGCATGTTACTTCCAGAACTGCAAGCCTTTAAGACCTCTCAAGGGAAAACATCACACCAAATTAATCTGCCGTCAAGTGGAAATTCTATATTGTTTGCATTTGCCAATGTTCTGTATGTGGCTGTAATTGCACTGAAGCAAATATCAGCTTCGAGTTCTTCACAAGATTAAATGTGACCAATTGGGCGTAAAAGAGTAATCGAAATGCGGAGCTGTTACTTTGGGTTTGTTAGAGACATTGCTCATTTTTGCTCTGACACGATGACACTAGGTTCTGGCTTTCTGTCGCAGCGGGAAATTGCGGCAAGGCGATGTGAGCTGTGGGATGACCAGGAGCAGGACGTTCCCACCTGGCAGAGTGCCCATACGAGCCCCTTGCCATGCCATGTCCCCTCCCAGCTGTGCAGTCCTATGGCCCATAGCAGTGCCTTGCTGTGCAGTGTTCAGTTGGCACCTTCCTGCTGGCTCCTGAGGAGTGTGGGATCCCTCACCCCATAAGTTTACCACAGGTTTAAAGCTGGGAGGAGCTGTGGTGGTCCCAGCCCAAGCCCTGTGTTTGTGGGGGAGCCCCCAGCCTGGCCCATGTCACCATGTCAGCTCACCAAACCCTGAGTCCTACCCTGTGCCAGCTGCATGTGAAAGGTTAAAGACTGCTTGAAAACCTCATGGTTTCTTTCCTTTTTTTTTTCTTTTAACTAGTTTAACCATTTTCCCTCCTGCCGTATAAATGCAATTACGAGCAAGTAAAAAGTCTCTCCTCAAGTTGGCTGCGCTGCCTTTTAATTCTGCATGAAAACCCAACTGCTGCCTGTACCCTGCACAGCAGGTTGTTAAAAAAGCAGGCCCAGGTGGGTGAAATTGCCAGTCTGAATCCTTCTTTATTTCAGTTTCTTTCAATTAGTGGGCTTATCCAAAAAATACATTGCAAGCTCCAATCGGCTCTCCCCAGCAGAGTTTCTCAGTGCAGCTGCAACAGTGTGCCTGCAGTGTCCATGCGCTGGCCTCAGTTTGAGCCTGGCGGCTGGTTGTGCTCCTGCTGCTGTGCTGCTGGCCAGCCCAGTGCTAGCAGACCCCAGCTCCTGCACGCTTCTCTCTCCCCAGCCTCAGGTCCAGCTCTCGCAGCTGCTCCAGGAAGCCGGAGTTGGGGCAGATCCCTCTGTGGGAGCGCACGGCCTGAATCGCGTCGGCAAGAGACATGTCCTCGCAGATCATTAGGAAGGCGAGGACAAGAGTTGCAGATCTACTGATTCCCATTGCACAGTGGACCAGTACTTTGCCTGTGGAAAGGAGAGTGGGGCTTTTAATGGCTGGAGACAATGCATAAATTTATTATAGCGTTCGTGATTGCACTGCGAGTTTTGGGCTTAGCCCTCAGCGTGGTGGCATGTGGAGATGGCAGAGAAAAAGCCCAGAGCTTTGCAGCCTGCTTCAGTGGGACTTGAGTCAACAGTGTGAGCAGTGAGGCTATGCGAGTGTCCCCTCTTTCCTCTGTAAGGTGTGCCCCTGGCCCCTGAGCCTAGCCTGGTGTCCCTGCTTGACCACCCCTTGTTTTGGGAGTGACATACTAGCTGGTGAAGCTTCAAATGAGACAAAAATATCCTTGTTGGGTGATGACATTAGATCCAGCTGAAAACCTCAAACTGATTGCCCCCATCTCCCCTGGTTTAAATTCTGGGTACTTTGTGCACAGCTTTTCATCTTAAATCCCATTTTGTTTGTGGCAGAGTACTTATTTAGCAACTGCTCTGGTTCTGACTAATGATGATCACATAGCCACATGCTCAGAGAGTGTGAGCATGTGTTGTAAAAACCTGCTCTGGCCAGCAGGTTCAGAGAGGTGTTGATTCTGCAGTGTGTACGACACTGCCACCCTTCATTATCCTGGCATGAGAAATCTGAGCTCAGCCCTAAAGATAGACGTGTCTTCAGCAGAAATAAAGAGACAAATATAGTTTCTAAAGAAGCAGTGAAAACGGCTCTAGTGACAGCAGAGGTGGACTGGGCAATGAAACATTTTGGGGAATGATGAAAGCTTCTAATGTAATGTAAAATTCTGCAGAATTAGAAGATCAAGTGATTTTTGTTTGCATTTTCCCATTCAGATAGAGGTTCCCAGAATTTATTCATATTCTTTATAACAATCTAACATTGTTGTTCAAGTTAGATTACATCTCTCTCTCTCACTTCCACTAACCAAATGGGCATTCTTAAAAGTCTACTTTTGTGGGAATGAGAGGAAATGCTTTGCACTCTTGCTGAAAGCTGATGCTAATCTATATTTTTCCCTAGATGTTATTTTCAATGTGCTGCACTATCACTAGCCTTCCCAGCTATCATGTGGGACATGTATGCTATGTTATCTTCCCCAGAAGAAGCACTTCAGACCAAAATAACTCAGGTCTGAGAATTTCAGAAGATACAGATGAGTCAGGAACACAGCTTCTCTTTGGGAAATATTGGAAATAGGGCCAAGTCCAACAGGCTTTTGGGAAAATCCAAGCTTAAGTAGTTGGCAGGCCTGGCAGGAAAGCAGTGGCAGTGACTGGGAAAACCCAGACACTTGTCCCACTGTGCAACCAAGGCAATGAAAATCAAAGAACAAAATGTTCTGAAAATTTTTCTTGGAATCAGAAACACCTTTTTGTTGTTTGACAACTTGTAAGCTGCCAGCACTGTATGAGTGAAAGAAAAATAAGTATTTATGGTTTGAACCACACCTGGAAGCAGGGTGCACAGAAGCACACAAAATCATGGAGATGGTTTTGATGTTGGATTTGAGTTTGGTGCACTAAGTAGTTTGAAACTCAATTGTAAGGACTTGCTGTTCTGAGCCTCCTTTCTGCAAAGTGTTTCTTGGGTCTCTATTTTTTCACCCATAAGGAGTCTTCTGCCTTGGGAAGACTCGGCCCCATCTACAGGCTGGATCTGAAAACTAAGCTGAGTACAGGTACAGGCCATTGAACATTGTCCACTGTGTTTTTGTTGAGGACACAGAGAGCAGAACAAATTCCAGGGATCAGCTTGAATAGCCTGGCTTTGCTCTCTGCTGGTTTAAGTCCTAACTGTGTGTGAGACGAGGAAGTGGGGAGTAAGAGCATATAGAAACTGTCTCCCCTGCTTGTCTAGATTGCCTGCACTTCAAAAGTGTCCTCCTAGCTGAGCAGCTTGTTTTAAAAGGTGTCTTATCGAGAATCTAAACAAGCTGCAACAGTTGACCTCAGGCCCAGTCTCCATGGCTCTCCAGTGCACTGGTTCCCATGAGGGTGCAGGTATAGTGTCTCTTTTACATGTGTAATATCTATTCCACATTGTTAGCCTTTGTTTCAACACACAGGGAGGTTATGAGAAATGCTGGTACACTGAGAATAAAGTGACTGTTTGTTGCAGATAAATCAGTCATGTGAAATGATTTAATTAATGTAAAATTACTCTAATGAAAGCAGATTTGAATTTAGTATGTGATTATTTGTAGCAAACAAATTGAATGTTAATGTTGAGTCAGGAAACAAAAGCCGTGTTGCTATTTAGTTCTGTTTACAGGCTCAGAGCCCTGTCCCTGTGCTGTACGTGGGTTAAGTGGTACTCCAAGTCACCATAATACACTGTGCCTGAGCGATGCCCGAGGCACATCTGACTGCAGCCATCTCGACACCGGAGCACTGTGTGAGCCTCCCACAAGAGGCAGCTGCCTGCACCATCGCAGCACCAGGCTGGGCTCCTGGGTGGCTGCTGGAGCAGGGCCTGGAAAGCAGCGCTGGGAGCAACTGTGAGCAGCCTTCACAATGGCCATTGTGATGCCTGTCCCTGCCGTGGGGTGGGCAGGGAGGTTATAACCAGATCTTCTGCCCCACGGAATCTATGCCACAAGCTGAGGTCCTCCAGCTTTGCCTCCCCGGCCTTTGTTTTGCACATAGAGTGCTAAGAGAAGTTGGACCAATCCCACATGAGAGGGCCGTGTTGCAACCTTGTCTCAGTGAGCGTGTAACAGGATCCCTTAGGAATAATGGGATTAACTGAGGAGAAGAGGGAGCACTTAGCTTCCAGGATTCTTAAATCTTGCAATCCTTATTTGAAACGTGGCACCGCGCGTCTCAAGCTACTCTTTGCAGAGGCAGACAATGGCTGTCATCTGGCTGGGATTTGTGCAGAACAATAACACTTGGTTTTTAACAACGGATTATGGATATTGTATCCAGCTCATGCCTGCTGTAACTCTGCTGACATCAAAGGGTTTGCAGTAGGGATAAAGTTTGCACATTCAACTTTGTTGGCCAAATTCAAGTTGGGAAATTCAATGTAGTTGAACAAATTAGCCATTAAAACGCATAATATCTTATTGTTCTTCTGCTACTCATCATTAACTGAGCTAAATGTCCTGAACTAGCCCTTGCTTCCTTGCAGGATGGATACGATTTGGCTTCAGACCAGGCTCCAACTCCATCACCCCAGGTGTGTTCCCCAGCTGCCCTCACCCCATTGGGCCCAGCAGAGCCATGTGCATGCTTGCAGCAGCTCTTCCTGCTCCACCACAGTTCTCTCATCTCTTGCTACGTTGTGCCACCATGCTGTAGCCAGGAGCACAACCAATTGTCTAGTTCTTGATTCATCAAGCATCTGTTTTCTCATGGCTGTGAACAGGAAGAAGTCTGAGGGGAGCTGTAAGTGGCAGTGTGCCCCTTCTGCCCAGGCCTGGTGGAACAGGTTGGGGCACCTGCTGGGGCAGTGCCAGCATGAAGTGATTCCCGTGGTACCCCTATGGCAGTGTCAAGAAAGGACCCTTTTCTGCTCAGTCAAGCTTTTTTCCTAACCAATAAACAACAACAGCAATGAGGAAGGAGGAGAAGTTCAGCTCTTAGTTAGCTCCAGCGATGTGGAAGAAGGGAAATACCTTGGAGAGAGTTTACCATTCTAGTAACTTAATGGATGGCTTTAACCTGCCTATCTTAAACATGTTTGGAGGGCAAGAAAATGATAAGCTTGGGAATTCTGCTTGGGAATCTTTTTCCCTGTACAGTGCTAGTGTGTTAGCTGTCGTGGCATGCCTTCATCTCTGCACTTAATTCACTTTTCCTTCCCCTTTTGCTTGACTTTGTCAAGCTGCTGATTTATGCTCAGGCTTAGCTGCACTCCCAAGAAATGCTAACTGCCCAGATGCCTGTGCGAAGGGGCAAGATGGATACTGGTATCACCAAAGTTTAGTTAAGATAGAAATCTAGAACAAATAGGTAGTAGTCTTAAATGACTTCTCAGTCAAACAGAAGTACCTCATTTCATCCTGAATTTAATATGAACAGGCCTCTTTTCACCTGGCATAATTTTGTGTTCAGCATCGCTGCTTACAATAAATGCAGCTTTTTTTCCTTCTTCTAAATGATGTGAATAACAATCCTCTCCCTGTCTCATCCCTTCGCAGGTCATGGATATTTAGCTGCTAAATTTCTGTACCTCAGGAAATTATGCTTTTAGAACATCTTGTTTATATATTTTCCAAACTGTTGCGCTTTCCTTGAAATGATGAATGTCAGCAACAGCTGGACTGTATATGATTGAATTTCACCTTGTCTCCATTCCCAGAACCCTGCTTCCATATGGAGTTCAGTAAAGCAGTATCTATAAATGCAGGAGTAGGGATAAATAGGCACTCTAGAGATGATGAGTTCATTGTGTTTGCCTTGAGCACTAACTTGTTCTGATAACTTCTAGTATTTGGGTATGCAGAACACTGCTTTTGTTTGCTTTTGTGGCCACTGTGATTCATCTGTTGTTTTCTGTCTTTTGTCAGTCCATTTGGAATTTTTTTTTTTTATCTCATTTTGCACACAAATGAAGAGATTTTGGATCTTACTTTTCCCTGGAGCACCACCAATAATGACTTCACTTGTAAATAGTATATGCTGTAATAGGCATGGGTGCAGATCCAAGTTTCCCAAGTACATTAGTGGTTTTGAAATCTAAATGCAGCCCTCAATTTCACAAAGGCAAATGCTTTCTATTGGGATGGATTATGGCCTCCAAGCAGCCGTAAACTCCTGTGTCTAGCACAGAAGTGCACTGGGTTCTGTAACCGTGTCTTCCTTTCCCAGTTTGTACAGTGTAGGTCTCTAGGTGCACTGATCAGATCTACTCACTCACCAAGCTGTGTAGTTAATATTTTGGGGCACTCATTGGTATTTCAGCAAAATAGCCTGCTGTGTACATAACTAACTGTTCTCTTAATAAACCACTTTTCAGTGGGCAGCTGCATTTTCGTGGTACAGAGGTGACTTTCTATTGTGAAGACTTGTCCTTTACGTTCAAGGTTCCCACCAGCTTTAGGCCTCTGGCATTGTACCTGGACAGTGTTGAGCAAGTCAAAGGATTTTTCCAGTTATCTTCCTATCTCCAATTTACTTCCTAGCAACAGTGTGGTGTTATCTCCTGACTGGTGCTGTTGCTTAGAGTGTTTCTACCAATTTGCTTCCTAGCAAGTTCTTCCCTCTTTTGTGCTCATAGCAATTCTGCAGATCATTAGCATTACAATATTTTTACCTGGTTCCAGCTATTATTTTAAAATAATTCAGTAATTTGGCAAGATCGTGTGTATGCATCTCCTCCCAGAGCTCAGGACATCCACACTTAGGTAGTAAATGCCTGCTATTCTGTTTCTTTTGCTGAGAGAGATGTTGAATAGCATGAGACACAGGAAAAACCCCTCTGAAAGCTCATTCAGTGCACTCTTCCTTGTTTTATCTTCAGTGAAAAAAAACATCTGTTCAACTGTATTTTCGCATTTTCTTCCTTCGTGTGCAAATACAAAGACATAACATGTAAGCTGTCGGAAGCTTACACCAATTGCAGTTTTTAAAACAAGCAAACAATTCAATGCAAAGACCACCTGTATGACAGCCTGCCCTCTATACTTGGAGGATTTGCATGGGCCAGGGCAAGGCTGTAGCAGGAGCTGTTACCAGGCTGGTGAGCAGTCTGTCCTGTAGGACAGCACAGAGGCAGTGGCAGCTGCTGCCCTGGAGCAGCTCAGGGTGACTGAGTGGCTCTCAGCTGTGCCCACATTCCTATGCTCTGGTCTGATGAACTGCTCTGCTTCAAAGCACAGCCTGGGCTTCCTACCCCAAGTCCTTGTAGAACTTGGGAGGAATCCTGGCAGTAAGTAATTTGTTTCTGAGCAGGAATCTCTAAAAGAAGAGTATGAGAGCAGTACTAGAGGACTAGAAATAAACTTCCAGAGCAGTGTGGCTTTATTTCTATTCTTCCCCATATGGGGTAGTGATTTCAGTAACAAGCTACATATTTTCTCTTTACAACTGGCGTCATCAACTTCGCAAGACTTGCTGTGGGAGTTTGGGAGGCAGGAATGACTCTGCTTGGTTTGTGTTTGCTTGTTTTAGGGTTCTTACCCCCACCTGCAGGTAGTTAGTTTATGCCGAGTACTACTTGACCAAACTGAGCAAGTTAACAAGCAGCGTGCTGAAAGTATGTCATATGCACGGACGATCTGGTTACCTCTTGGGGAATTCAGTGCGGCTCTTATGTATCGAGCAACTGGGTAGAAGTAAATGCTGAGATCAAAGTTCGGGTTGTCCTCTGCTTCTACCCCATAGTAATCCGCAGGAAGGTCTTTGTAGAACTTGGGCCCAGTGTTGAGGTGGAAGCGCCCAGCAGCAGCGTTCACAATATGGGAAATGCCCATTTGTCTCAGCTGTGCTTTGTCACGAGCAACGTACCTGGAGGAAGAAAAGTGTTTTTCATTCTCCTGCTGCATTGTGGTGCAGCATAAAGCACGCAGCTGCTGGTGCAGTTTGTTAGAAAGTTATAAAGTCATACAGGCTTTTTTCCTAACAAGATTATTCCATTTAAAGTGTTTACAAAAATGTTTCAAGACAGAATTGGACTTTTAGGAAACTGGCTCTTAGATTTCCTACATTTTCCACCAAACATCCACTTAGATTCTTCTCAACTGAGAAGGTTGGGGTAAGGTATATTTGTGTACAAGCTGAAAGTTTTCTGATTTGTTTTCTCACCAAATCACTTCTGCTGAGCATTCATCAGTTCTGGGACTGATGTCATCTGAAATGGGAAGCAAAAACCAGGGGGTCCTGTTTGACATTGCTCTAGTGTGAGTGCTATAGTAGTGATGCTGTGACGCCACCAGGCTGTTGCACCATGGGTCTCCTGTGCTAATGCAGGGGGAGAAATTAGGAGGGGTAGTATTCTCCTGGAAGGGAATGCTCAAGTTGCCTTTTATATGTGCTGTGGTATCCTAAGCAAGGTTCAGCCTCACTCAAAAATAAGACTTATTCCGAAGGGTCTCCAAATTAGTACCTAGCTCTCTCTTTAAAAAGATTGGATGATTTAGGCAGGGATGTGGAGGGGGCTAAGAGTTTCATCAGCACCTTCAGCCCTTCCCTCTCTTACAGGTCTCCCACATAAAGGTTTGGCCAGACTTCATCCACATGCCCCCTGGGGCGTGCACGTGTCCAGAGCAGGTGCTGCAGATCCTCCAGGGATGGGGTGTCCCCCCTCTGTCCTCCCCGTGCGATGCTTGAGGCTCTTCTTATCGTGGGACGCAGCAGGTCCCTGCCACACAGTGAGTCCCAGGCCATTCTGAAAGGTGAAAGACAAACAGTTACCACCAGCCAGGCATTTCTGAGATAGTGCTCTCTTCTTCTCCACTTACCCCTTCACCAAATTTGCCCTGGGTTGCAACAATGGGCTCTTTGGGTTTGGAAATTGCCTCTTTCTTCCATGTTGCTAGATTTATCATAGCAGAGGCCACAACTAGTCTTTGCAAATGTTGTTGCAATCTAAATAATGACAGTTCAGTGGCTCACATACCCCCATGTTGGGGTTCAGACAATGCCATTGCAGCATATTCTTCTAAAACAAAATTCTGTGTCATTATTGCAAATTGGAAACTAAAGCTTTTGCAAACTGCTATGCTCAGGGCCTCAGTGGGCTTATTTTGGCCTGACTACTCAACCTTTTTTTTTTTTCCTCTTTTTTTTTCAGAAGTGTCAAACAGTTCATCAAAACCTCATGATTATATTTTTAAAGTTTTTTTTTTTTCATAGTCATATAAACTTATCCACTTCCTATTTGGAATTCTAGGTGCTGCTGTTACCACAGCAGTACAGCCCAGTTCTTGATATGGGCAGCATGAAAGTTCCCCTGCCTTTAATGGAAAGAGGGAATGCTATGGAAAATGTTTTGTGTAAGGGTAGCTACTCAGCAGGAAAAGAAAAAAAAGTTACTGATTTGATATGCTGTGCTTTTCCTTCAACCATGCAACTTGAAATTGCTTATATATACTTTATCTGATTTGCCTTTTATAATTTGCTTAACCAGCTGAACTGAATTGAATGGAATTGGTCATGCAAGATCTTGCTCACTAGCTAACTCTGAATTGTCTGCTTCAATGGAGGAAACTCTGTAATGAGTATTTTGGTTATTTCCAATGGTATTTGTGAGCCACACTTGCTTTCTTGATGACAAATGCTCATGGTAGAAAAAGTCTGCATGAGTAAGTTATAGTAATTCTTGCTGCTATTCATATAGGCATTCGTATATGTTTTTTTATAGGTTGTTTCATTTTCATTCCACTGTTTTCTGCCCTCTCCAATAACTCTCCCATTTCTAATCTTGAAAGATCTACTTTAATACTTTATTTACATGGAGAAACTTAGATTTTTTTTTCTTTTTTTTTCTTTCTTTTTTTTTTTTTTTTTAGAAATCAATCTGTCACTGGAATTGTTCTATTTCCATGTGGTACTCTTCCTTTGAAATAGTAGTTCCTTATGTTTGCTCCAGATTTTAACTCTTTGGGAAGATTTTAGAAGAGAATAGAAACTGTATTTTTACAGTTTCTGTGTTTTTCTCTTTTAAGAAATTGTCTTACAAAGAACATTTTCGTGTTCTAAAATTTAGTCAAGTGTCCATATTACAGATCTACTACAAAGTCTGTCAGCTCAGGCAGCTTTAGACCAGGAGCATCTAGACTTGGATGAAGTTGTAGTCAGTGAGTCAAAGTCATGTTCTGCCACTTTGTGTAAATGATTGGACAGGTGGTTTGGGGTAAAACATTCCAGGACAGCAAACCTGAGACCTTCCATCTTTCTACTGAACAGTTCTACCATGCATAAATAGGCTGCATTCTTGTTTAAGCACATCCATTATTAGGAACTTCTTTCCTAACAGTGTTAGCTGTGGTGAAATATTTTCCTGGTTTCCCATTAAGGCTCATTCACCAGTCCTAAGTACAGCTTTTTTTTGTGACGTTATTTGATGATATCTGCCTTTACACACACAAAGACAATGGACATCAGGGGGAAGTTCTTTACAGAGAGAGTGGTGAGGTGCTGGAACAGGCTGCCCAGAGAGGCTGTGCATGCTCCATCCCTGGAGGTGTTCAAGGCCAGGTTGGGTGGGGCCTTAGGCAGCCTGGTCTAGTACCAGATCTGGAAGTTGGTGGCTCTGCGTGTGGCAGGGGGATTGAAACTTGGTGATACATGGGGTCCCTTCCAATGCCATTCTATGATTCTATGAAAGTCAGAGAGAAGCTGAAGGCTAGCTTGCTTTGGGAGATGTTTTGCTGAAGGAGAAATGGGACAACCAAATTCCTGTTCCCGGAGGCAAAAGAGGGCAAAAGAAGTGACCACAGTGACAGCATTGGTACACCAAATGCTGACCAGAAGCCACTGTGCACTTGGGTTGATTTGCCTTGCTATCCCACTGTCAAGGGGGCACCCTGTTTTTTCAGTACACTTTCTGCTGCCACCCTCACAATCTGAACTGTCCTCTTAAATACAGTAACTTTTCACTAAATAACAGTGTTCCCAGGATGGTCTCGTATTGTTTGTATTACAAAGAACTCCACTCCAGAATGTGCTCCCCTCCTAAAATGTGCGTATGTCCTCCAGTGTCAGCTTTTACTGTGAAAACAAAAGCAGATGTTCTTGCCCATTTCAGATGGCTTTATGCAAGGCAAAGCATTAAGGCGTTCCCATGCTGGAACGGACGTTCCCTATCAATTCTGATAGCTGCTCTGGCACTGGGCACCCCGATGCTTCTTTGCCAGCTGTGCCCTGGCCTGCTGCTGGTCATCTCGGACACCTGTGTGACTCTTCTGCTCCCACACAGGAGGTCTGCAGCCAGAATGGGACTTGTATTTCCTGTGTCCTGACCACAGGGCCATCTGCCAGTTCATTAAATGCTTTCAAGAATAACAGCCTCCTCCAGTCCTTCCCACCTCATAATATCTGCAGCAAATGTTCCCCCTTTTTTGATGTATCTCTTTCCTTGCAGTGTGGCTAATGACCACTCTAGGGCACTTCTCACTCCCTATAAAGTTGCTTTCAACTGTTTCATTTTTTGCTTCTTATTTACTGCTGCCTGTTATCCATTCCCCTTGCCCTCTCCACTATATAAATACCTTGATTTTTACGTTACCTGGCCACACAGGACTGGAGACTGCAGTCAGCCCCACTTTCCTAAGCCTCCCAAGGTAGAGAATGACAGGGCATTGCCCCAGAGTCCCAGCAGTGTCATGGTATTAGCACAGCCCTTACAGGAACTGTGCTTTCCAGATCCATAACCCCATCCTTGTAACAGCCTGGGGAGACAGCTATGAAGTACAGCAAACCTTAGGAAAACTGTTCTGCTGGAGATGTTAAAAAAAAAAAAAATTGTCTTTCTAGAAGCAAACATAACTGTGTAGACTTGGCAAAGGAGGCAGTGTGTGCTTCACTTACTGTGTGGATTCTGAAAGCTGTGCAATGTTTTTTTTTGTAAGGTGGGCCCTCTGCTTTGAATTGTGCTAGGTTGACTTTCAGCTTGTGCTCACATTAATTTTGTATTCTAGTTAAGGAATTTACTCTTGTTGATATACCAACATGAACAGCAGAAGTTGTGTATGAAACTTATTTGTTTTGCAATCTGGTCACATTTGTTCAACTGGAGAACAGAATCAGTTCATGTAAACTTTATGTCCAATAAAAGCTGAGGACTGGAGTTCAAATTTCAAATGCGAAATAATTGGAACTAACAGGCTGTGAATGATTCAAAAGCAGAGAAGTCTCTGTAGAACTATTCAGTTAATATGCTGAATAATGAATGCACTGGAAAAAAAAAATCATAGCTTTCCAGAGAAAATTTACAGACAGTAAAACAAGGCAATTTTTTTTTTTTTTTTATAAATGACTGCTCAATTCTAGCATCAGACCAACATTTTAACTTACTAATTTTATACATGCAACTGTAATTTACTGAAATGCACATATTTAAAGAAAACAATGATATGAATAAAATTGTGTAATGTTTTCTAAGGAGCATGAATAGATTAAAACAAATGAGTATGAAAGGAAAATGATTATATGTAATAATGTGGTTCTTCATTTTAAAAATGTTTTTAATGATTCTCAGCTCAATTTCTCTATATTCTTTTTTTGCAGGGGATTTGTTTCTGTGAAGTGTTGCGTGGATGAGCAATACAGTTTTAAAATGCCTGTTTCTGAATGATAATCCCATGAAATGTTCCTGATCTTTGCCCTACTAGTGTTGTATTGCAGAAATTATTCAATTACAGAGGAGAAATTTTACCATTATATTTAGATTAATTTTGAATTGGTTTGCACTACAACTGTAATTTTAGCTGAACTGTATAATAGAATTTCCTTAATTATGAATAAGAGGAGAATTGCAATCAGAGGCCTATCACAAAGTAAAGGTCATTTAGATGATCTAGTGACCTAGATGAGAACCATGCATGCCACCTTGCCATGCTCCTACCTGTAAGCCCTTATCTGAAAACCACTAGTGGCTTTGCCACAGTAGGACCAAGAGAAAAGGTCCAGGTCAACAGTTCGTTATGCTGTGTGGTGATATACATCCCAGGAAGAAGACAAAAGTGGTCCTATTAAGTCAGAGAGAGTATCTCTGCTGCCTCTTTAGGCTTCCTCTCTTTCCCTCAGTGGATGCCTCTTTTGGTTGCATATATTCTGGATGTTTTTGTTGGTTTTTGATTAACTCATTTACTGCAGCCTTCTCTATAAATCAGTTGGTGGCATTCAGTGCCCTGCTGAGGAGGAGGCCTTTAGAGACTGATCCCTCAACAGGTGTCTCAGTTCTTCAAAATGTGTCACCTTGATCTGATTTTCCAGTAGCACATATTTAATAAGAACAAACTCAAATGCCAGTGCAATTTGACCATTTGGCAGTACATTGGTACAAGATCAAAATGAGAGGATGATGTGAAGGCTGAGCTGGGGCAACATGAAACTCTGAAGCATGATGCTATGGAAAGTCAGGAGGGAAAAACAACTCTCATGTCTAAGATATTTAGCTGGTGCACTAGTAGAAAGCGCTCATATCTTTTGTTTTTCCTTCCATTTTTCCAGTGCCAAGATAAAGGACGGATCTTAGTACTATATGAGAATGTCAATACTCATGTTTCAGTGGTGCATGCAGTATTTTAATCATCCTAGTCATTGTACTGGATTTTGTGTATGAGTAAAACGTAGCTGTTCTCCCCTAGCTTTAGAAATATTTTTACTTTTTTAAATCCTGAAAACAAAGTGCTTTACATCCTGTTATTTCTCAAACTGGTATGT